CAAAATACCAATAGATGGTTCCCCAGCGCCGCCCTGTGTTGAAAATATAGAACTACGTGGACACGTCGTGTTGCATAAGAGTGTGCTATAGAAAGTAGTGTATGCGTGGTTTACGTACAAAACAACAGTTGCCATCTGTTGCTGCTGCTCATGCAGAGCAGAGCATGGTTTTGGGTTCTTTTTTAATCACCGGTCCTTCACTAAGAGATACACTGCTAAGGACTTTCTTTCATTACACTGCTGAATAACAAAAAGAGACATTAATCCTATAGAAATATAATATTTACATACAATCCCAGCAAACAGTGTAGGAATGGCTGTAGGTTTAGATAAACAATGAAGAAAAGTCAAGTAATGTCTCACAGCACATCATCCAAGCAGTATTTGTCATCACTAATTTATTACTCAAAAGGAAGAGTAGGTAAACAAGGTTTGCCCAGTAGCAGTTGTGGTGCCAGATACGCTTGTGTAGATAAGGATTTTGGCTAGCAACAGTTTGTGTACATACAAATAGCAACTTAGTGATAGCTGATTCAGAACAGGCCAAAGTCTCACCTTAAATTGTAATAAATTTATACATTTATAGTTTGAAAGCTTGTCCTATGAATTACAGGAAATTAAATCCATTTAAATTCATAGTAATGTTGAGAGAAAATATATTTTTAAGATTTTCCATACTCTCTGCATAATCGTTATTCATATTTCTGCTTATAGTTAGAATTATAAATATGCTTCTCCACTATCTTAATTAGCATTTCTACTCTCATGAACCTGGTATGTCTGTACAAGGAAAACATTTCCTTGTAGGAAGCTGGGAGGGGACTTTTTACAAGGGCCTGTAGTGACAGGACAAAGGGTAACGGGTTTAAATTGAAAGCGGGGAGGTTTAGATTAGATATCAGGAAGAAGTTCTTCCTGGAGAGGGTGGTGAAGCCCTGGCACAGGTTGCCCAGAGAAGCTGTGGATGCCCCATCCCTGGAAGTGTTCAAGGCCAGGCTGGATGAGGCTTGGAGCAACCTGGTCTAGTGGAAGGTGTCCCTGCCCATGGCAGGGGGGTTGGAACTGGATGGTCTTTAAAGTCCCTTCCAACCCAAACCATTCTGTGATTCTATGATTTCACCATATACTTGAATAGTTTCACAACTGCTGGAAATGTGTTCTGATTGCCTGTGATCATTCTGTTAGGGTAAGAAAGGTATATCTGGTGATAAAGAAGCAAGGAGTGTTCTCATTTGTACTTGCTACCTCATGGACTGCTGACACAGTGTTTGCAAGAGCTTAGAAATGTCTGGTCCGCGTCTTTTCCTGTGCTGCACTTCCCTTTGCAGTAGTTGCAGAGCAGAGACATTCTTAGCTGCTGCACACCACCATGAGACCCCATTTATATCAAAGTCCCTCCTTTAATCAAGAAAGCAACATTTAAATCAGCGAAGAACTAGCCCATAATTCTCTGATCAAGGCAAAGCGTGCCACTTTCACACTGTTGTTAACAGCACCATTGAATTGAGTTGATTGTAAGACAGCTAAACCAATCCTGCAAATACTACCTTGCTTCAGTGGCTGAAGAACTAAGGGATTTAGACTAGGAACTACCTCCCTTCAGCATTAGCAGGCAGGCAGGGTTGCTAACATCAGTTTCCAGCGTCTCAGCAGATATGTGGTACCCGGTGATCATTATTCTGCCATTGGTTACTAGACAAACATCCTAAGACAAAAATTAGAGGATTTTAAAAGTCTTTTTGATACGGCTATTTCTTATGAGTTACACAACACCGATTTCCCTTGCATCAGCCACTTGGTAATTGTTACAGGCATGCTGTTACTGCATGGAGGGGTGGGAGCACTTTGAGCAGAGGCTGTTAGCCCAAAGACTCTCAGCATCTTGAAGTGAAATTCTGATTCTCAGAATATGCAAAAGCTGGAAGTATCAGTTATAATTTACATTTAGTGGTTCAAACACAGCTGTCTGAAAATGCTTGGTGGTAGTGTAACGTGCAGAGCATCCACCAGAGGGAAGCTCACACCTGCATATAAAGACAAATAAATAATTTGAAGGATGAATGAAACACTCTCCTAATATTTAAGCCAAAGCAAATTCAATTAAAAATGTTTCTTAGCAGTAGCATAGAATTCTTGAGCTTGGAAAGTTTCAGAAGTTATTTAAAGATAACAGACTTAACAGCAAGTTTCTTGTGTTAATGACTGAATTGTTGCACTACATATAGTATGCCGGCACACAAAAAACTTCACAGATTCAGATATTTTTTGGTATTTTAGATGTAGAAATGCAGCCTAATTTCACTGCTGTTAATAGAATTAGAATGGAGCTTATGTGATAAGAAGTCCGACTGCATGTTCGTGCATTAAAAGCCTCACACACACTTGGTCACTAGAAAGATACCGAGTTGTGTTCAGCATGTTCATGAATATACTACACTGCTCCCCTTGCGAATGGAAGTATTTGTTACATTTCCCATGAAGTTTGTGTTCTAGTGTAATTTTGACAGTCAGATGCTTTTAGAGACTGTTAAAGACAGCTTATAGACAGTCTGACGTATTCACAATGATCCAACAGCCACATAGAGCTCTTCAGAAACATGCTCCCTACCTAATGTTAACTCTGGTGTCTGTGATATTAAGGCTAATGCCTATCTTCAGTCTTACTCAGAGAAGCTTTACCATTTCAACATCTGTCTGGGATCTTTTTTAAAACAGAAGTCCCAGGCTGTTGCTGCAATTCTGAGATTTATTAGTTTTCTTGTTTAAATGAAAGATACAGCCAGCAACAGAGGCTATCTGGCAAACAAACTTTGACTGAAATGGAGAAACATGTTTCTGAAAAATATAAGGACAGATGCTTCACAAGTTAAACCAGATCCAGGTTCAACCACTGGATTAGAACTACACTAATACTGATAGCAATAGCTCTCAAACGTAGTTTTAAAGAGGGAAATCTTAGAGAAGTGTCACCCAATGCTGCAGGAACATACAGGTTCTTTTTAGGGTCCTTGGTAGAATGGACTTGTCACAGGGTTGTAGTTACAACTAGAGCTTTGTTATGACATAAAAATGTTAATTATCAGCATATTTTATTGTAATCTACAATTTCTAGCAGTTAGCATAGCGTATTGTTACACAGAATTTTTAGCAATTACCATAGCTTTCAGTTAAGCAGAATTTCTAGTAATCAGTATAGCTTTCTTACTGTCTGGAGTCTTTATGTACCTAGGGTTTTAGTCACCTGGGCCCCTGCAGATCAGGTCAAATTCTTAAAGATCAGCATGTGATATAATAAGTGTAATCTAGATTCAGACCTTACCTAAAAGAACCTGCCTGTCTCTGTAGCATTGGTGACAAGGGCATCTCTCCTTGATTCCCCACCCCCCATCCCCAATAAAAATCTGCAACTTAGTTCAGTCTAGATATGCCCTGGCAATAAATTAATAAAGAGCCCTTGCAAAGTTAACTTCTGGAGAAGTAACGATGTCTATAAAGGTGGTTTCATTAGAAGAAGAGACATTGCCCAGCACTTCCTTTCATTAGTTGATTTTCACAAGTGGTTTTCAGAAATTCCCTTTAGAATACAAACAACTGGTTTGGGTTTTCCCCCTACTCAATCTATATTAAATGTAGTTTAAAATAAAAGGGACTAGAATCTTGTATCAGATTAAATCCAGATTAAAATCTTTATTGCACAAATAGTATTTTTAAGATATAATACCTGACTTCAGTGGAGTTATTGTGGATTTGCTTTTGATCTCATCGTACTCTTACGAGATCAAAACCAGCTAAGCTGATTTGGGGGGGAGGTGGTGTTGCAATCCTTTCTCTGTGACGAAAGGTGCCTTTCAACTTTGTATTATGCACTACATTCGCCACGTTTGTAAAATTCTACCTCAACACGTAGAGAAATAACCTGTGTCACAGTCTTAAGTGTAAGAGAGCAAGCTCTGCGTAACTCCTTTTGTCTGTACATCTATTGTATGGAAAATACCCTTCCCGTTTCACTTCTGTGACTCTTGAACTTTTCTGTTGGTGCTGCTGTTTTGGTTCCTCCTTTAACTTTTTAGAAATTATCTTCAAAATAAGATCCTTTGTCATGAGGATAACAAAATATTTTCATATTCTTTAGCTAGACACTGAAGAATTCGGGGCTCGCATAGGATTTGAATGCTGGACTGACTACCAAGTTTCCCAGGAGATAAAGCCATAGCCCATTGCTGGTGCAGCTGGACCATGCAGTAATATATTTTCTCTCTGACACAGAGTGTTTTCTCCTATAACCCTATATCCAAACTGTTCTGGTGGTCATTGTTTGGCTAAAGGACTGCAACTTCCCAGAGCATTAGAAATAGAATTGCCAGCCGCTTTATTAAACCAGTACAGTCACTGGGTAGGACAAATGTTGATTTCCTTTATGCCAACATATTTCTAAAGCATGTTTTCTGCTGAATTAAGAATTTTTCATGCTTTGGAACAGAATCTCATGTCAAACATAATATGCATATAGTACAATTTGGGATTTATCTGCCACCCCTCATTTTTTGAGTCTTATAAAATAGAATATTTACTTATTCATACAAGCAAGGGTAGAGTAGCATAAAGAGGCTTTCTTTCTACACGTAGCTGTTGATTATATCAGTAACTTATCAAAGTAGCAAGCTTCTTTAAATAGGGAGACTTTTGAAAGACCTAAATGTTTTAAAATCTCCTGACGTGTGATGGATATATATCTAAAAGCAAAGTCAGGTGCTGCACTGTATTTTTATTTTTGCTTTGTATGCAAAAATGCACACAGTCTTTCTAAAGAACAGGAACTGCAATATGTGGTCAGATGTTTAAGAGTGAGCATTAGGATATGAGCTCATTCGCTGTATTGGTCTACAGAGCATCAGTTAGAGAAGTTTTTCTCGAGTAGCTCACTAACACCTTCAGAATAAAGGCAGAGGGGCCAAGTACTGAGGATATTGGCAACTGAAAAGAACAGAAGAATTCCCAGAATGATTCAAGCTGAGGAGAGCAGTACCCACTCAACGTGGAATATTGTGAGGTCAGTAGTCTGCATAATACTGACCTTGTCATTTATTATTGGGACCCCTGGGAATTGCATCGTCATCTGGACCATTTGTAAAAAAATGAAGCAAGTATCTCCTTCAGTCCTGCTCATCTTGAACCTGGCCATTGCAGATGTCCTTGTACTGATTACTTTACCAATTTGGATTTACTCCTTTGCTGACTCATGGGTTTTTGGCGTCATCTTCTGCAAAATACTGGTTTTCATTATTTACTGCAGCATGTACGCTAGTATATTTCTAATTACAGCACTGAGCTTGGAGCGGTTAATGGCCGTGTTTTACCCTTTCACAATTCAAAGATACAAAACAAAAGAAAAAATTGCTGTAGTCATGTTCCTCATTTGGTTCCTGTCTATTGCTTTCGGCATTTCTGTCATTCCATTTCAAGAGACAGAAGAAATGAACGGTCAACTACTATGCACATGTCGCAACTACTCTTCTAATAGACAGAAAGCATCATATCTTTTGCTGGAGACTCTTGCAGGTTTTGCAATCCCTTTTTTAATTATTTGCACTTGTTACACGTGTGTTGCAAGAAGAATAAGCAGAATGACTTACCAATCTAAGCAGCGATCGGAACGGCTCATTACCAGCATTGTGGTGATGTTCATTTTGTGCTGGTTCCCTCATCATCTCTTTAACATCCTAGACATTATTTCAGTTCAGATAGAAGACTCTAACAAGGAAATGTCTTTGGCACTGGATGAAACTGTGGACAAAGGAGTGTACATCTCTGGAGCACTTGTATTCATCAGTAGCTGTGTTAACCCTCTACTTTATGCTTTTGCTGCACGAAGATTTCAGAATCACCTGAGACTTTCCAAGATATCAAAGCTGTTTGAACAGCTGAGTCAGACTCTGACAGAGGAAGACAAGAAAAAAGGTTTGGTTGTAACCAAACAAGAAGATACTTTAGTAAGCACAGAAAATCTCTAACAAGGAACATGGACAGCAAATAATGTGACTCTCTGTCATTCCTTCAGTGGTCCATTCTCCTACTCAGTTTTGTTTACTAAGCAGTCCAGATAAATCTAGAGACAGGTGAAAGTTATTAGTGGCTTTTTGTGTGTTATAAAAGAATTGGCATTGACAACCTAGTTCGGTTCCTGAATTAGTATCCACATCATGAAATAAACACTATTTCTCTGGTGCCAAGATCTTCAGCAAGCTGGCTAGAAGCTCCAAGTGGAAGGAATACAGCATTTTTACTTTTCATTTAAATTATTTGTGATGTCGTGAAAGAGTGCGCAGAAAACAGAAAAGGACTGTATGTGGAAAGCAGAAGCTTTGAAAGTTTAAAATTAAGCTTTCCTTTGAAAAAAAATTGTTAGATGCTCAAAAATCCTTATATAATCTAAAGTTTTAGTAGAGTATACTTAAATTCTTGATGTGGGTAAGAATGGTTTAAAAGTATATTAACGACAAAACTCTTGGGTAGGTGGGAAAGATAAAGTTATTTTTATTCATTGCTTTATTTAGGTTTTAAAGTAGTAAGGGCTGTTTACACAGTCAAGCTCATTTACTGGATTATCTCGTGTTAATAGGTTTTAACAAGTAAAATGTGAGTTGTGACATGCCTCTTCAGAAAAAAACAAGTGCGAGAATTTAGTGTTGTATGGCAAGCACAGTTACAGACTTCGTGCTATATTTGATGTCAAATACATTGCGTACTTCAGTGGCAGTTAAACTATTGAGATACTAAATATACATACTATGAGTATCCTCAGAAAGTTTGATGCAGTTTAGCATCCAAGTTGTCTATTAAATTATGGAGTAATTGGGTCAGGCTCTGGTGGGCAGGAAGGAGAGACCCTTGATACTGTTTTTCATGTGTAAGAAAACTAGGGTAACAGTACAAAGTGTCTAATATCATAAGGACTTCACCTTACAAATAAAAGCATTATTTTTTCTTCTCTTATAGAATAGAGTGGACTTTGCCATAAGAAAGCAATAATTCTAGCACTTGCAAGGACCTTATTTTAGTTTTGTGAGTGTGTGCAAACTCACTGTGGGAAAACTGCATGGCATCAAGGATTTTTATTTCAGTTGTGACTAACATTTTTTATGCCTACTCGTGCTTATTTTTAGGCCAATGTTTTGTAATAAGATCAAGGTAACTACTAATTACTAAGAAACACATTGTAATTTCCTATGCATTGTTCTGGACAGCTGCTAAATAGCTGTGTTGCTCATCTTTACAAAAAAATTACAAATACTAACTAGAACTTAATTTCCAAAATCTGATTATGTAACAACCAAGGGTATTTGAATTGTGTTAATTTAGCTTGTAAACCAAAATAAACACGGGAGGTTAAATCCTCTCCTGTTAATGGAAGAATATTTCTCTAAACGTTGCATATGTATTTATTATTCCTGCTTGTTATGAAAAAGGTTTTTTTTCCCAATAGAAGAGCCTAGATCACAGAGGGCTTTCCAGTAATAGGACTCCTTCACTGAAACTGAAGTAAATAAAACTTTAGAAAGACCTTGTTTGCAGCAGAGTAGGCAGCAGATGAAATCCCTTAGACTTTACCCCATCCGCCTACAACTCTTTTTTCACCCCACTAATGGCTCTTCAATTGCTATTGGTATATTCAATATAGCTATGTGGCATTATCTCACAATAAAAGCAGAAACCAGTTATCTACTGCATAAAAAAGTGAAGCTGTATGTCCCAGTATGTTCTTTAGATAGAAGTCACTCCGCTATTCAACAACAGCACAGAACAGATGAGATAAGCACATAAGCACTGCAACCTAGATAGAGTTCTAGGCCACAAGGAGCCAAGCAATGCACAACTTGCAGGTTGGGAAAAGGCCCAGAAAAACTTTAGTACAAGCTACCTGACGGGAATTTTCCTTTCCATCAGTCTGTGCCCTATGCCTAGCTATAATCAATCTTCTTATTAGGACTTGGGTTAAACCCCTCATCATCTCTGTGTGTGTATCATCTGTCTCGTGAATGAAGCATTCTTTTTCTGTGCCATTTGCTATTCAACAAGCCTTTTGGTAGTATTGACTGCATGTTAAGTGCCTTGTGCTCAGCTATGCCTAACCCAGGACAAGTCAAGGCGTCAGGGGCCAGGTACATAGTCCGTGCAATACTGCCTGCTGCAGTGGTGTTTGGTGTTGTTTGGGAGCTTTTTTTTTAAAATCAGTGGGTAAGGAATAGTGAGTCAGACCTTTTTCATTTTTTTCTTGTAACTCACAGACAGGTGAACTTTGCTGCTCATGCTGCATTCTGCCCAGCATCCAGGAATCTTAAAAAGGGAACTAGTAACATCCACAGATTAGTAAATACATTCTAGGGAATAATGAAATGATTAGTTAAGGCAGTTCAGAACTGAAAGCTGTTACTCTGAGGATTCAGAATCATTTACTAGCAGGTGCTGTTCTTCCACTGAAATTACAGTGTTTAGCATAGAGACCTAAGCTAACTATCAGGATGTTTCTTATGGTCAACAGACAAAACAGCAGCACATTAGCTATATTCTACTTCTGTGCTTTGACAGTAGATAGCATGAATTTTCAACCTCAGTGCTAATTTCTCCACTGCTTTTTACTCACAAGTGCAGCACTGAAGTACTTTTACAACATGCAGTCCATCGAGGAGCTAGAACCATCCTCTTATGTTCATATTAATGGCCTTGGACAGCTGCCTCCAGCAGTCAGTCTTTTTTAAGAACTATGTTTCTTTTGAAGGCAGTTTGAGGAGTTGTAAAAGATGATAAACAGCAACTTCAATTAATTTATTTTCTACAGAGCAAATTGAGTTAATTTTTGCAAATGTTGATATGCACAGGCAAAAACCTACTGATTTAATATTTTTGGCAACACAGCTGTGATGGAACTGGGTCCATAAGAGTCAGCATAATAATACAAGCTGATGTCATGGTTGACTGCTTCTTCCTTTAACAGGTACACATCAGGCCTACCAGTCTAGCAAGACTTACCACTTGATCTATGCTAGCGTTCTCTGTCACAAAACTACCAATAGGTCCATTCAGCCAATGGACAGAGGATATTCTCATCTCCTAAAGTACTGAATCCCAGCCAAACCTAAGGCCTGGTATAGATTTTTTCTAAAATGCTGCATCTCATGATAGATCTTACAGATCATATTGGCATATTGATAGAAAGCAAAGACCTTCCTTGGTTGTTCAGGCTAGTTCAAAGCAGTGAGGTGAGAGGAGTCTCACTGGTAACTCTTGAGACACTTGAGATGCTTGAGATAAATGAGACCCTTCTCAGAAAAATAAGTTTTCTTCTCATTTGAGTTCCTCTTATTTTTCTTACTTCCTAACTCTTCTGTCCCAGTTTACAAAGTCTGGCTCTGTGGTTTCAGTGACCAGCTATTTCTCATGACACAGCAAGGAAGAAGGCTGAGCTCAGAAAGGGCTGCTTCAGTCACCTGAGTCAAATCACCTCAGATTACACCGAAGTACAGGGAACATTGTGTGGAATCAATGCAACACTACTTGGAACACTGAGTACTAGGAGGTGACCAGGTGGTTTGAATTTCTCATGATTGTAAAAATTAATAATCTTCTAACATTAATCTCTAACATTAATGTCTTACCCAGCCTGAAACGTGCTGTGAGCATTCCACAGTATACATCAGAAATTTATCACATTTCTTGTAGTAGGATCATGCTGCATACAGAGAATTAATGTTGTATTAATAGGATTGAAGGAAAACCTGAAGTATTTTTCATTCATATGTAGTCAATATACAAGAAGAATAAAAACAAACATAAAGAAAAAATGTCATTCTTACACCTTTGTTGCCTGCTGACATCAAAAGTTTTCTGTAAGCATCAGAAAACCATAATTGTTAATATTTGCTAATTCTGCATGTTCTAAATTATTTACTTTATGGATCAGACTCTTACTTGAATGAGAAAGAATCTGTATGTCTATGTAGTCTCCATGCCACCTGTTAGCTTCCAGGTTCTTTTACTCCTTTCACCCAAGTTCTGCATGCAAATCTTTCCTTTAAAAGTAATTTTTTACTTTTAGTAATAACTCTGTAAGTTATTACAGAGATCATGGTTAAAACAGTGGAGCTTTGTGGATATTTAGAAGCAACTTGTAATTTAAGAGGTAACACAAGGGAAATCAGAGATCCTTATTTGCAGGCAGAAATAAGGCAACTGCATTATACTAAAGAAATGAGTTTTTTCTTTAACAAAGCCAGCAGAACATTGTCTAGTAAGAAGTAGAGCGAAAGTTAAGAGACATTTTAAAGACAGTTAAGACTGCAGTTACGTAACTCTTAGGATTACTATTAATTACACTATTACTTTTAAAGAAAAGATTTGCATGCAGAACTTGGGTGAAAGGAGTAAAAGAACCTGGAAGCTAACAGGTGGCATGGAGACTACATAGACATACAGATTCTTTCTCATTCAAGTAAGAGTCTGATCCATAAAGTAAATAATTTAGAACATGCAGAATTAGCAAATATTAACAATTATGGTTTTATTTATTTGATTTTATATCCTACAACTCTTGTATTACTCCCTTTTCTGCTTGTATACAGAAAAGGGAAGAGTAAGAAAAATATTACATTTGATTGAAGTGGAAAAGCAAGTGAGAAATAAGTCAGTTAAGATTAAGAAAAACAGGGCCTTATAATGAAACTGAGAAGTTCAGCAATGAAAGCTGACTGTACAAAGAGAATAGAGAGGGAAGTGAGAACTGTTATGTTGCAAGGCAGTTTCAGGTTTTTAGAAATGCCTCCTTGACAGATCAGTTAATCACTAAAGCCGTTCTTTATTAGAAAACTCCTCGGCTAGATTTCCACTGATTGTTAATAGGTTAAAGAAAAAAATCCAATAAAACACAGTTTAGATAGACATAACCCTGTCCTCTGAGAGGGTGAGTAGCTTATGCTGCTCCTCTTAGGCTTGACACTGGGTGTAACCATGGCTATGA